ATTACCTTCGTTTGCTAATTAGTTGTAACCCATGTTTACAGCTTCCCCAAATGTTCCAATTTCAAAAATAAATGGCAGTGTTCGCGTACCACTGAAGCTGGGCTTTGGGGTGCATTTCTGTGAATGACATATTTGAATCCCACCTCAAAGGAGGCTTGGTGAAGTACACCTGAGCCTTGGGAAAGAGAAGAAAATGCTCCCCTTGGGCTCATAATAAGTTGTTCCTATTCAGGGACAGTCAAAATACAAAATTAGCTTTCTGATGTGGCCAGCTGAAAGATGTTTATTTTTCCAGTACACCATCTTGCAAACACTAGCCTGTGGGCACTCACTGTTGGGCTAAGATAAAGTACTCACCAGCCTGAGGTGAATGCAGAACAGAATGTTTTAAAGGTGTCTAAATTTATTCAACCTACAGGATTTCATTTAATGCTGAAATGTTTTCTTTCCTATTTCCTTGACTGAGTGTTCTACTAAAGGAAGACACAGTAGATGGTAGGTTTTCTCTTTAAAGATTTTTAACTTAGCAAAATTAACATTTAACTCACCCCTGTGTCGGTTTTCCCACTCACTTTATTTTTTTTTCTTCTTCTTCTGTGAAATCTTGATGTTTGGAAACAACTGCTAATCTATTTCCAAAGCTCCTGGATTTCTTGTGTGATCTTTTCAAGAGAGTATATTTTTAAGACAAAGTAATACCTTTAACTTGTTTTGGACATGCTCATCACAGTATCTTCTTGATAATTCTATCATTATCAGGGACACTGGATTAGAATATAGTGAATCCTCAGGAACAGACATGGGGCAGTTTGGCAGAGCCAGAAAAGCCACAGACCAGTGTTTTTTTCTTTAGACAATTTCTCACTATTTAGTCTAGGCTGGCCTTGCACTCATAATGTAGCCCACACTCCTCCTGCCTCAGCCTTCTGAATGTTAGCATTAGAAGTGGGCACTACCACTCCAGCTTTGCCAGCTTAGACTAGCATTCTTTCAGCAGCATGAAAAAAGGAAAGGAAAGACAACAGGCAAGCAGCAGGCAGGAAGGGAGGGAGGAAGCTGTTTTGTCCCCTTCCTTATCTGGTTGTCAATTAACAGCTGACAAAACTCTGTGATGAGGCTTTCTTTATGGACTACCTTTGCTTTGCTAAGGCCTGGAGATTGGAAATCCATTGACTGTTATAATTGTGTGTAAACTAAAACTTTTTAAAGGATGGGGGAGGGCAAGGGCTAAGTTGGCACTGAAAGAGGGGATTCATATAGCATCCTAACTTTGAAGGGCTGCAAAGCATAGTGGCTATATACATGCATTTTAGTAACACAGAGCTGAAGCAGAATCTTAGGAGAGACAGGTACTCATCTGTAGAATGCAAGTAGTAAAAATACAACAACCAAATAGATGAGTATTAAATGAAATAAAGCATGTGAAGCACTTAGTATAATGCCTGACCCACAATAAGTCCTTCATAAAATAAATGCTAACTAAAATGGTCACCCAATAATACCGTGCATTTTCTTGGCTCACCTCTTAGATCCTTTCTGTTATGTTTCAGATAGGTAAATTTGCCTACTAGCTGAGTTATAGACACATAAGTGACACTGCATTTAGATTTTACCTGTGCATTTGTTCATTCACTCATTCACGCCTATGACCAAAGAAAAAAGAAAGCTCCTCACACTCCTACATTTCATGGAGCACCTTGCATTAAATGTTGTGGAGAGGGGTCTAAAAATACAGAAAGTATCTTATTTTCTGGAGAAGAGACAGCCAAGAGACACTGCAGCATAAGGGGTCATGGTCAAGTCCAGAGATGCGCTCAGAGAAGGCAAACACTTCAGACAGGCCCTGTCTGACTTGACTGTGGCGTCATAAACCCACGGACACAGGACATAAATTCCTCCCGATCTACCCACTCTGGGGATCTTTCCATGAGGATTGTTCATTGTCCCTAATCACCTCTGCACAGCCTTGACCCAAAACTGCATCCTGTCGCACAGCAGACAGAGCAAACAAAAAAAATTTTTTTCAATTTTGAAGACAGAAGAGTGGTCTCATAGTTCTTGGCAAAAATGAGAATGAAGAACTTGGGAGCCCTGACTTTCATTCTCTCTTCCAGTCAACCCCTTTTCCATCCTGGGCTGGGCCCCCTGATGCTCCTCTGTCTCCCACGATGAGTCTTGCAGCTTACCTTCTCTTAAAACAGGGTAGAAGCATCAGCAGAGAGAAAGGTCAAAGAACCTAGGGAGTGGCCGTTCACGCAGCATTGAGCCTCCTAGGGTCCATCGCCACCCTTTGTGTGGTTGTTCAAGCTCAGAGATGTTTAATTTTTTCAAGAGAGGAACTAAGGAAGGAGTTGGGCCACCAAGGTATCTAAAAGACTAAAGAGTGCACTTCCAGGATCTGTTAATGGAAATTGTTTGCCAAGCTTGAAAATTGCCACATTTAAACTCGCAGTGTGGGGTGTGATCATAAATATGAACTCCTTTTCAGGCAGCAAACCAG